TGCATATTCTTAAACCTCTGATTAGGTTAGGTGGGGATAGATAGTCTACTCATTTTTGAATAATAACATTAAATACACATGCCAGTAGGACGCCAAAGGTCGCATTGGTTATCTGGTGACGTCATACATAGTTGACCAGTCAGGTGCTGTGCTACCTTGACACTTATGCGCTAATGGCCGACAATACCTCATCCCTATACCTGAGGTCGCTTTTCGCGACGTCGATAAACAACAACAATTGGTCTGTAGAATGTATTTGTTTGTTATATATAATAAGTTAGGTTAGGATGGTTTGATCGGGTTTATGAATATCAGAAAATAGGAGCAATGAGCGAAAAATACGAGCCAATGTAGCTGAATATCGACTCTAATGAAGCACAGAGTACAGTTGAGGTATTAAGCCTGATTAAGAGTTCACACTTATGTGTGAACCTCCTAGGGTCCGCATTTAGCACGTTGGCGCCTCGCGCCGCATTAGGGATGATGACGTCAGAAAAGCAGGTAATTGCAGAAGGCCTTATTTCAAAACATGAGAGGCTTGCTTTTACCGAATTAGTATTTTTGATTTGTTATATGCTACAGTAAGGTGTGGCAGGTATGTTTTGAGCGAGTGTGAGATGTGTATATGGTTAGGGACAATATTGGATTACTACTGAACTTGCATTGAAATTGCCAATGCCCAGGGCTCTGTTTTTTTCATATATATGACTGATAGCGGTTTTTATTTTTGCCCTTTGAGAAATAAACGATCCTTCAAGGAAGATTGTCAAAGCTTAAATTACATTCTCTAGAAAGACAAAGAAGAAATAGGGGTGACATGATAGAGGTGTGATTGAATGGTCATAGTAAAGGGGGATATTAATAACCTATTAAACGTATCAACATGAAACAGAACAGGAATGAACTGGATAAGTTTTACATTTAGGAAAAAAGACCTGGTTCAGTTACAGGGATGAACGCTGAGATACATGGTAGTTCTTGCTCTGTGTTGCTGCCCCTTTGATACATGTAATGGGTGATGGTTGGAAGTAAATATGAAATTTAATATAGACTAGGGATGATGGTATTTTCCATTAGGTTTCAGGGTCACTGTTGTAACGCAAAACACACGACTCATAGACCGGCTTTTTAATCCCCTTGAACGTGCCTGTGCAGGAACGCTGCGCGGGTTGCTGGTGACGTCATTGACCATTGGCTATGCCTGTGCAAGGGTCGCTGAGGTAACGCAAAACTCACGAGACAGGGACCGGCATTTTAATCCCCCAGGCAAGTTGATTCGAGAAAACCCAGGATGCGTAGACCGGCAGTGGAAAAATTTCGAGAAACCCCAGGGTGCGTAGACCGGCATGGGGAAAAAAATTCGTAAAACCCAGGGGCCAGAAGCTGGCATAGGGAAAAAAAGTTCGTAAAACCCCAGGGGCCAGAAGCCGGCATGGGAAAAAAAGTTTGTAAAACCCAGGGGCCAGAAGCCGGCATAGGAAAAAAGTTCGTAAAACCCAGGGACCAGAAGCCGGCATGGGAAAAAATGAAAATTGCCGGCTTCTGGCCCGGTTTACACTACTATCGTAGTACATTAGTGCACTGGTCAATGGAATATCATTGAATATATATAATTGCATAGTGATAAATTTCCATAACTGGATGTTAGTTTAGTCATGCCTAGTTAAGTATGAATGTAGTGAGTTGAACGACTGACTTGTGGAGGTGGAGCACCTCACCCACATACTGGGTGAGGTGTGGAGCATGTACACTAACCTGCTCCAGAGAGTGGGTGAGGTGTGGAGCATGTATACTGACCTGCTCCAGAGAGTGGGCGAGGTGTGGAGGCAGGGTGACTGTGGGCAGGCGACCTGTGGGGTCAGGAACATACAGAGAGCCGTCCATGTCCTTCACCATCCGGGCCGCCAGCTCCCAGTGTCCAGCGTCCAGGGCAGCGTGCAGAGGACTCGCGCCGGACTTGCTACATAAGGAGGACTGAGCACCAGCCAGGTGGAGGAAGCTGCAGGTCAAGGTGCACTTGGCACGAGCCGCCTGAACCATGAGCTGAGTCAGGCTCACCACTGACCTGCCTCGGGGCCAGCAGGCTCTCCATGGGGCCTCGCCTCTTATGGTGGATATTACTTCATCAACACCTGCACCAAGCTCTCTTACTTCATCAACACCTGCACCAAGCTCTCTTACTTCATCAACACCTGCACCAAGCTCTCCCAACTCTTTAATTTTATCACGTTCTTGCTCCAGAACATGAAGGAACACCTGTAAACACATTGTATTGTTGTAACACATTCACCAACACCTTTAAACACATTTTAGTGTTATTACTACATCAACACCTGCACCAAGCTCTCTTACTACATCAACACCTGCACCAAGCTCTCTTACTACATCAACACCTGCACTAAGCTCTCTTACTACATCAACACCTGCACTAAGCTCTCTTACTACATCAACACCTGCACCAAGCTCTCTTACTACATCAACACCTGCACTAAGCTCTCTTACTACATCAACACCTGCACTAAGCTCTCTTACTACATCAACACCTGCACTAAGCTCTCTTACTACATCAACACCTGCACCAAGCTCTCTTACTTCATCAACACCTGCACTAAGCTCTCTTACTACATCAACACCTGCACTAAGCTCTCTTACTACATCAACACCTGCACCAAGCTCTCTTACTACATCAACACCTGCACTAAGCTCTCTTACTACATCAACACCTGCACCAAGCTCTCTTACTTCATCAACACCTGCACCAAGCTCTCTTACTTCATAAACACCTGCACCAAGCTCTCTTACTTCATCAACACCTACACTACGTTCTCTTCCATATATATATATATATATATATATATATATATATATATATATATATATATATATATATATATATATATATATATATATATATATATATATATATATATATATATATATATATATATATATATATATATCACTAAGAACTCTTTGACTCGGCCAGGATTCGAACCCATGACTTCCAGGATGATCCCTAAACGTACACAGTACCGTGACCACCGCACCAATGATCGTCTATAAGGATTGGTCAGCCATGGTGCTTATTAACTAAGCTCCCTGACTGTTGAACCCCCGGCGACACTCATGGATCCATTTGGGTACAGTTTACAAGAGAGCGGGTTACAGTGGAGACGACGACGGAATAGGGGAGTTAGGGATGGTGGAGACGAGGGGACAGTGAAATGGAGAATGGTTAGGAGGATGAGGAGATGGGGGATAGGGGAATGGTAGGGAATATGATGGAATGAGGGAGTGGGAGATGGTGGGGAGGACGAGGGGACGTTAAATTAGGCAATAGTTAGGAGGACGAGGGGACGGTGGAGTGGGGGATGGTGGGAGAATAAAGGGACGGTTGGAATAGTAGGGAGGACGAGGGGGGACGGGGGTGTGGGAATGGTCGGGAAGATGAAGGGATGGAGGAGTGAGGAATGGTTGGGAGGACGAGGGGATGGGGGAGGAGGGAGTGGTGGGGTGGACTGGGAGACTGGAAAAGGTTGCTGTGGCTCAACATCGCATGTGCATTGCTGAACCACAGTAACGCGTGGCAGGGTACAGTTAGTATCTATATCTATATAAATATAAATTAAAAATGTTCATTTGTGCATAACCGCTAATCTCCGACAGATCTTCACACATTGCTTTGAAATTTTCACACAACGTTTCATTCGCATCCGAGCATGTTTTTATATACATACTATATAAGTGTCACGTCTGCGACGGTAAAAAGCATGTTTTTTCTGAAAAACTAAGTTTTTCATGTATTTTTCATGTGAGGGAAATCTTTGAAACCTCATTACTGATTGCTTTGAAATTTTGTCATACGTTGCATTCGAATAGGCGCGTCTTTTCACATATATACTATATACATGCCTCACCTGTGACAGGAAAAAACATGTTTTTTTGAAAAACAGCGCCATCTGTTGGACGTAAGAGCAACACTCGCTATAATCTCTGGAAGTTCTTCACCAATTACTTTGAAATTTTGACACAACGTTGCATTCGAATAGGCGCATCTTTTTATATACTTACTATATAGATGCCACCCCTGTGACAGGTAAGAACATGCATTTTTGAAAAACAGCGCTTTCTGTTGCATATAATGGCAACATGAACGCAATAATAAATATGTCACAAATTCCATTTCAATGTTTCCTATTACATTGATAAATTTAATTTTCATAGATTTCAATTTATTTGATTTAGAAACCCCATCTGTTGCATGTAAGAGAAACACATGCTATACTAAATATGTCATGATTCCATTTCGATGTTTCCAAGTTCATGTATAAATTAAATTTTCAATTTATTTAAATTTTGATTTAATAATTTTTTTGTGATATTGCATTGGAATTTTGCTGCGCTGTTTACCATACCATTCATTTTGTGAGAATAGTTTATTTTGTAATTTTTTCGTTTTTTTTCATTTCGTTTTGTAACTGTTTTTCTTATATTTCAGTGTTGGGAACATTAGATCATATAATGTTTCCAATTTTCTTATGGAAACATCAGATTATATAATGTTTACAATTTTCTTATGGAAACATCAGATCATGTGGGAATGCATTTGGACGAGGGAGTGGGAAATGGTGGACAGGAGGAGGGGACGAGAGTGGGGTATGGAGGGAAGGACGAGGGGACAAGGTGGGAGGTAATAGTGAGGCATACGAGGGAACGAGGGAATTAGGGATAGTGGGGACGAGGGGACAGTGGAGTGGAGAATGGTGGGGAGGAATAGAGGATAGGGAAGTGGAGAATGAGGGGACGGGGAAGGGGGGGGTAATGGTTTGGGAGGACGAGGGGATGGGGGAGTGGGAGACAGTGGGGAGGACGAGGGGACTGCACAGTGGGGAATTGTTAGGAGGACGAGGGAATGGTGGAGTAGGGGGGGATTGTGAGGATGACAATGGGACGGAGGAGGGGTGAATGGTGAGGAGGAAGATGAGGGGACGGGGGAGTGGGTAATGGTTGGGAGGACGAGGGGACAGAAGAGTGAGGAAAGGTTGGGAAGACAGGGAAAAGGTAAGGAGGACTGGGAGAGAGGGGAAGGTTGCTGTGGCACAGAAGCACATGTGTTGCTCAGCCACAGCAACGCGTGGCTGGGTACAGCTATATTATATATATGTATATGTAAATGTATATATACTTAGTATTACCAATCTACAACATTCAATACACAATTTAGCCCTCTATACCACACACACTTTCCCCCAAACAACATGAAGACTAGGTTAACCACCTGCCAAAGCTGGTGCACTTTGTACACGTTCATGGGGGTGGAGTTTGTGGTTACTCACACGGCCCACGTCGCCACCATAACTTAGGCCACACGCACTTTAACCCTTACAATGTAGCCCGCGCGTGCCATCTGCCAGATGGTGCACAACTGCTGGTGCACCTGTTACACCAGCTGGCAGCTGGTGCACAACAGCTGGTGCACCTGTTACACCAGCTGGCAGATGGTGCACAACTGCTGGTGCACCTGTTACACCAGCTGGCAGATGGTGCACAACTGCTGGTGCACCTGTTACACCAGCTGGCAGATGGTGCACAACTGCTGGTGCACCTGTTACACCAGCTGGCAGATGGTGCACAACTGCTGGTGCACCTGTTACACCAGCTGGCAGATGGTGCACAACTGCTGGTGCACCTGTAACACCAGCTGGCAGATGGTGCACAACTGCTGGTGCACCTGTTACACCAGCTGGCAGATGGTGCACAACTGCTGGTGCACCTGTTACACCAGCTGGCAGATGGTGCAAAACTGCTGGTGCACCTGTTACACCAACTGGCAGATGGTGCACAACTGCTGGTGCACCTGTTACACCAGCTGGCAGATGGTGCACACGGTTTACGTCGTAAATTTCACTACTGGTGGACACAATACCAATTTGTGTATAGTAGACATGATACCAACAGGTGTATGGTGAACATTATACCAACAGGTGTATGGTGGACACTATACCAACAGGTGTATGGTGGACACTATACCAACTGGTGTATCGTGGACACTATACCAACTGGTGTATCGTGGACACTATACCAACAGGTGTATGGTGAACATTATACCAACAGGTGTATGGTGGACACTATACCAACAGGTGTATGGTGGACACTATACCAACTGGTGTATCGTGGACACTATACCAACTGGTGTATGGTGGACACTATACCAACTGGTGTATCGTGGACACTATACCAACTGGTGTATGGTGGACACTATACCAACTGGTGTATGGTGGGCACTATACCAACAGGTGTATGGTGGACACTATACCAACAGGTGTATGGTGGACACTATACCAACTGGTGTATGTAGGACACTATACCAAATGGTGTATGGTGGTCACTATACCAACTGGTGTACGGTGGTCACTATACCAAATGGTGTATGCTGGTCACTATATCAACTGGTGTATGATGGTCACTATACCAACTGGTATATGGTGGACACTATACCAACTGGTATATGGTGGACACTATACCAACTGGTGTATGGTGGACACTATACCAACTGGTATATGTTGGACACTATACCAACTGGTGTATGGTGGACACTATACCAACTGGTATATGGTGGACACTATACCAACTGGTGTATGGTGGACACTATACCAACTGGTGTATGGTGGACACCATACCAACTGGTATATGTTGGACACTATACAAACTGGTGTATGGTGGACACTATAGCAACTGGTGTAAGGCAGACACTATACCAACTGGTGTATGGTGGACACTATACCAACTGGTGTACCGTGGACATTATACCAACTGATGTATGGTGGACACTATACCAACTGGTATATGGTGGACACTATACCAACTGGTGTATGGTGGGCACTATACCAACAGGTGTATGGTGGACACTATACCAACTGGTGTATGGTGGGCACTATACCAACAGGTGTATGGTGGACACTATACCAACAGGTGTATGGTGGACACTATACCAACTGGTGTATGGAGGACACTATACCAAATGATGTATGGTGGTCACTATACCAACTGGTGTACGGTGGTCACTATACCAAATGGTGTATGCTGGTCACTATATCAACTGGTGTATGATGGTCACTATACCAACTGGTGTATGGTGGTCACTATACCAACTGGTGTATGGTGGACACTATACCTACTGGTGTATGGTGGACACTATACCAACTGGTATATGGTGGACACTATACCAACTGGTATATGGTGGACACTATACCAAC